ATAGATAGATAGATAGATAGATAGATAGATAGATAGATAGATAGATACAAAGATACATAGATAGATGTGTTGGAAATGACTTCCACCACCAAAACCTGAATCAGTAAAAACAAAGAGACTTTATTAAGAGAAAATAATAATCGCAGTTTGCAAAAAGGCAGTGGATATCCCAGCAGAGACCTGAATAAGGATCTTTGAGCCAGGAAGCCACACCTTAACATTTCAAACGCATTACATTTTATAGTTCTCTATTCCAACGTCCCGTCCCCCCCCCATACCCCTCCTACATCGGATCCAGTGACCGATCACAGCTAATCCGGGGCACCTTCAGAGGCTACATCGTCTCTTTCTCTAATTACATGTTCATCAAGACCTCCCCATAACTACCCATAAAATATTTTGCAAGCCTGGCTTTTTTTTATCTCCCTCTCCTTGGCATTAAGGAATGTCCCCTTAACAGTCCTAAAACAAAAGAACATCTATTTCTAACACAACACTTGTTACACTGTTACATATATTTTTGTATACTTTCAACATGTCTTTTCTCCAACTATCTTAAAGCAGAAGAATGATTATATGCATTTCTGACCTATATACATACTATTTTTATTTTTCAATTTTCTTATTTCCTGCAGATGGATGGATAGATGGATGATGGAGATAGATAGATAGATAGATAGATAGATAGATAGATAGATAGATAGATAGATAGATAGATAATAGATGGATGGATGATAGATTAGATAGATGGATAATGGATGGATGATAGATTAGATAGATAGATAGATAAATAGATAGATAGATAGATAGATAATAGATAAACAGACAGATGATAGATAGATAGATACAGAGATACAGAGATAATAGATGAGAGAGAGATAAAGAATAGATAGATAATAGATCTATCTATCCCTCTATTTATAATCTCTATATCTACTGTATGTATGTATGTATGTATGTATCTATCTATCTATCTATCACTATCAGTAATCTGTGTATAATCTGTCTGTCTGTCTATCTCTATCCCCCTCTATCTATCTAGCCATCCATCCCTATCTCTCTCTATCTATAATTTCTATTTATATCTTTATATCTATCTATCTATCTATTATCTATCTATCTATCTATCTATCTATCTCCATTATCCATCCATCCATCCACCCACCCACATCTATCTCGAAGTGGCAAACACACTTAATACACCCGCCTTTTATTTTCCTCTGCACAACAATCCTGTGAGGTGGGTTGGGCTGCAAAAGAGATTGACCAGCCTCAAATCCCCCCACCTCCACTTTGCCGCCTTTCATGCCTAAGGTGGGACTTGAAATCGCTGTCTCCTGGTTAAATATTTTTGTCTAGGAAGTTTTTTCTTTTCTTTTTGCTGGAGCGAAAACTTGCTTTGACTGAAAATGAGGTTTTCCTCTCTCTCCTTGCCGCTGCCTTCCTCCTCGCTCGCTTCTTACGATTCTTGATGAATATATTTTATTTTTTCTTTATGTGCACTGAGAGCATATGCACCAAAGACAAATTCCTTGTGTGTCCAATCACACAAGGAATAAAGAATTCTATTCTATTCTATTCTATATCAACTGTTGAAAGACGAGGACTACCTTGGCTCTAAATACAGCCTAGTTGTGGAGCACTTAAAATGCAATCCTGTGACCACAGGAGGGGGCAATTGTCGGACTTTAAATCAGTGGTCACCAACCTTGGCAACTTTAAGCCTGGTGGACTTCAACTCCCAGAATTCAGCAGCTTTGCTGGCTGGGGAATTCTGGGAATTGAAGTCCTCCAGGCTTAAAGTTGCCAAGATTGGAGACCCTGCTTTAAATCATTCCCATACACCCACCACCACCCCAATTGAGGACCCAGTTGTGTGGGCAATAAGCTGACTTTGTATAAATATACAAAAGAATGAAGGTTATTGCTTAGCACACTGTAAGCCGCCCTGAGTCTCCGGAGAAGGGCGGCATATAAATTAAAAAAAATATATATGTCAAAGTAAACATTGGAAACAGTGAGTCCCCTTTAATAATTTAAACCAGGGGGTCTCCAACCTTGGGCAACTTTAAGCCTGGAGGACTTCAACTCCCAGAATTCCCCAGCCAGCAAAGCTGCTGAATTCTGGGAGTTGAAGTCCGCCAGGCTTAAAGTTGCCAAGGTTGGTGACCACTGATTTAAAGTCCGACAATTGCCCCCTCCTGTGGTCACAGGACCGCATTTTAAGTGTTGAGTCCCCTTTAATAATTTAAAAAAGGGGGTCTCCAACTATGGGCAACTTTAAGCCTGGAGGACTTCAACTCCCAGAATTCCCCAGCCAGGAATTCTGGGAGTTGAAGTCCTCCAGGCTTAAATTTGCTAAGTTTGGAGACCCCCTGGTTTAAACAATGCAAGTTTGGTACTGACGAGTCAATACGAACTCTGTTCGTTGTTTTTGTTTTTTACCGCCTTGTTGAACAGATCAAAGCCAAAAAGTTGAACTTTGATGTTGGTGCCTTCTTCTCCCGCACCAAAGTCGGAAGTCAGTGCCTTATTTTTTTGTTTTGCCTTCTTTTTCCCCCTTTTCTTTTCCCTCGCTTTTCCTTTCCCTTTTCCCTTCCCTGTTTTCCCCCTGCTATTTTTTACTTCTGTATTTTCTTTGCATGCTGTATTATAAAGTAATTAAAAAAAAAAAACTATTTAAAAAAAATGTCTTGGGGAGAAGGGGGGGGCACGACTAATTGGCGACTCATTGCGGTTCCCCCAGCTCACATTCAGACGGGGGGGTGGGTGGGTAGGTGGGGGGCTCGTTCCCCGTTGCGCGCAAAAAGCCCTCGAGCGGAGGGACCCCCCCCCCCTCTTCCCCGAGCCCCGCGTTTCCTTCCCCCAAAATCGGTCTTAGCGCAAGGCGGGGAGTGGGAGGGAGGGAAGGGGGGGAGAGAAGACCCGCCTCGCTTTCCCTTGCTGCCCGCATCCCCCCCCCCCCCCCCCCCCCCAGCTGGGGACCCCCCCCCCCCCCCAAAAAACCCGGCAAGACCCCGGATTTCTTGGCCAACCTTGCCTTATGCATTCATGGGGCAGCCAGCGGGTTTCCCGAGGGGAAACTGAGGCTCACGTCCGCTTGCAAAGGGCGCCCAGCCAGACGAGCCCACCACCCACCCACCGGAGCCGCAGATCGGATTCTCGTCCCTTTCTCTGCTCGGGATCCTATCTGAGCTGCCCGGGATCCTATCTGAGCTGGCAAAGCGGAGGGATCGGGCCCCATCGCTGTGGTTCCACCCAGAAGGCGGACCGACCGAGCTGGGTGGGGCCGGGCGCCCGGTTGCCACTCTCAGCCAGGCGGTTGGGGGGCGCAGAAACCACTAGGCGTTGCTGCCGGCGGGTGGACGGTGGAACGGAGCCGGCCCAGCATGGAGTGGTGGCAGGCAGAAGGTGGGCGCCGTCGCCCTGGGGACCCTCCCGGATGGACGCGACCCTGGAGAACGGGGTTCCTGGCAGGTAAAAGGGGTGGGGGGTCCCGTCGGGTCGACCCTTTGAAGTTGGAGCTCCAGATGTTTGTGGGGGGTTTCTTTTTCCCCACGGAAAGGTCCCCGGGGACCCTCGGGAATCCCCGAAAATCCTTGCTGGCCGTGGAAACTCTGGTTTGGTCCGGGTCAGGTTAGTCCCAGCTGGACTCTGACCAACTTTCCCGAGCCTTTAACCCAGATACCCGATCGTTGGTTGTGTTGGCTGCCGAGCGTGAGAATTGGGAGGGGGGGTATCCCAAGCACATCTGCAAAGCAAGCCGGCTTTTAAAAGGGAGAGTGGGGAGGGGGGGAGTCTTTCCTTCCCATCTGAGCCCAGGCCTTCCCCCAAAGGTTTGCCATCGCCCCCCCCTAAATTGCAAATTTAGAATATGCGGCTGTTATTCCTTTTTATCCTACCTGCTTGTCTGCAAGCTGCGGAGTGTGTTTGTTTCTTTATTCAATCCGTTTTTCAAGGTTTGTGCAAGAACAACCACAAAAATAAATAAGTAAATAAATAAATAAATACATGTGAGCAGGCTGGAAATTCAATTCAAAACCCCAAACTTTACTGGTGGGTTGACTCTGTGCCCATCCTGTATCAGGGGTTGGGAAGGGGGAAACAACCCACTTTTGAATCCTTTTCTGAGCCCCACGAATCGTGGAGAGAAGCCGGGTGCCATATTGCAGAGGGCATTTGGGCACCGCAGCAGACCTAACTCCTAGGCTCAGCTTCATAAAAACACAGTTGCTAAATTCTCATAAGTGGCCGTGCCTGAATATATAAATAAAAAGAAGGGCTTAAAAGCAACATCTGCTCCAGCCAACCTGCTAAGATGGTAAGTGCCCACGAGATCCTGAAAGCTGCCAACCTAAGCGGGAATAGCTAGAAATCTACCAGAGAGAGGGAGAATTCGAACTCCGTGCCTCCCCGTTGCTGGACAAGCTTAGCCTGGTCTATTTGAAGCCAGCCAGCCAGCCAACCATTCAAGGGATGCGCCTAGCAGCATTTTTAGCCATTGTTCCTGGGGTCATTTAAAAAAAAAAGTGTTAGCAAATCCAAAATGTAGTTTTTGTACCCCGTTAGACGTGAACATCTGTTAATGGTGTGTGGCAGAAAAAAACAACTGTTCTTCTATCCAGGAAAATCCTGAATATTGTGGTGGTGTTTTAATTTCAAAAGGTTTATTGGTTGATCAAAATATAAAACGCAGGAACGCGAAGAAAAATGAAAATAAAACGGTCCAATAAAGGAGGGAAGGGGGGAAGCGAGAAATGTGTAGGAAAGAGAGGGGGAATAAGAATAAGAAGGAATTGATTTCCGACTGATTTTTGTGCAGTAGGATAAGACAATGACACGAAGCCTCAATTTTTTACTCTTCTATAATAATATGTACAGTACAAGCCAGTTCGGTAACAGCGAACTTAGAAAATCCTGAACATTCAATGTAGAATCTTGTCCGCAAATTCTAATTCCGGATTAAATTTGGAATTTAACACCAGCAGACCTATCTGACTACTGATTTCTCTTCTAGGAAAACCCCCTGTGTGATAATAGTTGTCAAAAGATGGATACAAAATAAGCAGGCTACAGTCTCATTTTCCCCCCTGCATCAATTTCCAGAAATCTAAGCCCTGAGAATGTTGTTGAGTTGCAGAAATTAAGTTCCACTGTATTTGGAAAGGACCAGGAGGAAGGAAGCTATTTTATTGTGAAAAGAAGAGGAAAAAAATAAAACACACTATAGATTTTAGATCCTTTAGCTCAACTATTGGCTACACATTTGATAGGTCGTTTCTGGGAGTTTTATGCACTAAATTTTGTTACACCAGACGAAATAAATAAATAAGCTCCACTGTCTTTTTTTTCCCTTTTTTAAAAAAAATCTTTTCCCTTATTTTTATATTTTATAATTTTCTGACAAATGTTTGGGGAATGTCTGTCTTTGAATCTTTAGGGTGTTTCTCGCCATGATTATTAGGGTTACCAATTTTGAACGAGAGTAAATTGATGATTAGTTTGAGGAATTAGGCATGTGTTGATTGGCTGAGATTCTTTTTGGCGAATCCCAAAGGGGCTTTTTCCAGAGGCAACTGGGTTTTCTTTTTTCCCTGAAGACATTTTGCTTCTCATCCAAGAAGCTTCTTCAGTTCTGAAGAAGAACTCTTCTCTTGGCTTTCAAAAGGGAGAGGAGGGTCTTTGTTCTTCTTTTGACAGCTTCTTGTTCTGACCCAGCCTTAGCAAAAGCAAGAAACAGACTCCTTGTCACGAAAAATCCCTCTTTATTTACCTCTTGTGAACGAATGGCATTCACCCACCAAAAAATCCAGGCAAGAGTCCTTCAAGGAGATAACGGCAGTATCAGACCTTATCAGTTCCTTGCGATAATTGCAAGGCCGTGAGCTCCCAGCCGAAAGGCTGCAAATTAAGTTCCGGCAAGCAGTCTTTGTGGCACGAAACGCAATGAGCAAAACCTTCAGAAATACGAACGGTTGTCTCCTACGACCACCACTCCCCTTTCCTTCTATTTATTTCCCAGCCAGGGAAGGGCCATTCAGCATCCATGTGTGCTTTGCTTCCGAATCGACTCCTTGTCCGCCTCTCCTAACTGCTCTGTGCATACGTGCATCTGGAACAGGCCCCAGCTGTTCTTCCTCCTCACTCATCTCAGCCTCCAAAGGCAGCTGCCTCTCCGGTGGCTGGGAAATGTCGGATGGCCCCAGCTCTATCTCTGCATCCGACACAGAGCATCCATCGGAGCCTTCCCCAGACTCCAGCCCTGGCCCAAGATCCTCCCCAACCTCCTCATCGTCCGAGTCTGTTGCCAGCTCTGCTGGCAGCTGGCGGGCCACAACACTTCTTGGATGAGAAGCGAAACGTCTTCAAGGAAAAACAAAAGAACATCCAGGCACCTCTTGAAAAAGCACCTGACCTGGATGTCCGAGAATCTCTATCGACAGGGTATAACTGTGGTGTGGCCAGAACGGGTATTTTGCTTGAAATGAGCCTTCTCTCCTTTCCCCCCTCCCCCCTTTCTACTTTCTAGCTTTCGTCCTCAGTTTTTCCTTCCTGTTGGCTCAGGGCCAACCATCGTTAAGTAAAACAGCCATGTACAACATCACGATCTTCACGGAGCCACCAGTGGCGTTAGAAGGGCAGACTGTCAATCTGACCCTCAAATACAACGCGGCCAACTTTGCTTTCTGCAACTGGTACCGAGGGACCGACGTTAAAGAAAATTTGATCGTCACTTTCTACCTCCCGCCGATCAATGGAAACACCACTGGGCCTTCCTACACCGGGCGTGAAGTTGCAGGCTTTGGCTGCTCTCTATTCATTAATAACTTACATTTGAACGACTCTGGAACCTACGTGGTGACCATGAACGGACCTTCGGTGCACGGGAAAGGAGATGTAAAAATACAAGTCTTAGGTATGGTTTACCTTCTCTAGTGCGGTCTAAAGCCCTTTCCGTTTCTGCTGAACCTTGGAAGAATTGTCACCTGTCATTCCAAAATTCTGTTGGGATTCTTCTTCCAAATGACTTGAAACACTCTTCTTCCTTGCTCAGCGTAACAGAGTTGGAAGGGATCCTGGAGTCTGGTCCTCCATTTCAGACAAATGATTGCTCAATCTTCCGGTCCAATTGGAAGTTGGCAAACGGGCCGTTTCTGGCCTCCAGAGGGCCTCTGGGCGGGTGGGGAAGGCTGTTTTCGCCCTCCCCAGGCTCCTAGAAAGGCTCTGGAGCCAGGTGAGAGAGAAAAACGGGCCTACCGAGCCATCGCGTGCTGGGAGCGGGGTGGGGGGGTGGGGGGGTCATGCGTGCATTTCCAGGGGTGTGGTGCATAGAATTATGGGTGTGTGCGCCCCCGTCCCCCTCCTCCTGGTACGCGATGGCAAAAAGGTTAGCCATCCCTGGTATATCCTTTATTGTCATTGTACATCATATATACAGCGAAATTGGTAATGGGTGGAAGCTAGTTAAAGAGAGTTCGAACCTAGGACTAAGGAGAAATTTTCTGACAGCGTGCAGGGCTTGTCTCCAGAAGTTGTAGGTGCAACTGGAGGTTTTCAAGAAGAGATTGGATAACCATTTGTCCGGGATGGTATAGGATCTCCTGCTCAAGCAGGGAGTTGGACTAGATGACCTCTAGATGATGGAGTAGAAGTCCCTTCCAATCCTGTTGTTATATGTTCTAACATGGTTATGATTTGGCTCAGAATATGAACTCGGCTGTCCTGGCTTCAGCAGCCAGATGTGATTAAAAACTAAGTATGGCTTTAGGGCAGTGTTTCCCAAACTTGACCCTTTGAAGATGTATGGACTTCAACTCCCAGAATTCCTCAACCAGGCATACTATTCCTCAACCAGGCATACTGGCTGGGGAATTCTGGGAGTTGAAGTCCATGCATCTTAAAATAGCCAAGTTTGGGAAACACTGCTTTAGGGCATAGTTTCTCAACCTTAGCAGCCTGAAGAAGATGTGTGAACTTTCAACTCCCAGAATTCCCAGTGCCGACTGGGGAATTCTGGGAGTTGAAATCCTTCACATCTTCAAGTTGCTAAAGTTGAGAAACGTTGGCTTAGGGCCGTGATGGTGAACCTATGGCACGCATGCCAGAGGGTGAAAAAAGAGCCGAGGTGGCGCAGTGGTTAGAGTGCTGTACTGCAGCTCCTTCAGCGGACTGCTAGTTCAGCAGATCAGGGGATCAAATCTCACCAGGCTCAAGGTTGACTCAGCCTTCCATCCTTCTGAGGTCGGTCAAATGAGGACCCAGATTGTTAGGGGGGCAATATGCTATTTAATATACTGTCGATTGTTGTAAGCCGCCCAGAGTCCTCGGAGAGTGGGCGGCATAGAAATATGATTAATAATAATAAATAAAAAGGTGCCACGCATAGCCCTCTCTGTGGGCACGCACGCTGTTGGCAGCTGCTCTTCTGGTTTCCAGCGCACACACGCTCGCTGGCCAGCTGGTGCTGTTTTTAATCCTCTTTGGTTGATTTGGATACTTTAAATCCAGCTGAGTGATTCTTAATTGTGAGAAAAAAATGAAACATACTCACATGATAGATGAGTGAAAATTCGGTTCTGCTTGCCTACGCAGAATATAGAATAGCAGAGTTGGAAGGTACCTTGGAGGTCTTCGTGACTCAGCTTTCCGTCCTTCCGAGGTTGGTCAAAGGAGGACCCAGATTGTTGGGGGCAATAGGCTGACACTGTAAACGGCTTAGAGGGGGCTGTAACAGAGGTGGGTTTCAGCAGGTTCTCACCAGTTCTGGAGAACTGGTAGCGGAAATTTTGAGTAGTTCGGAGAACCAGTAAATATCACCTCTGACTAGCCCAGTCCCCATCTAGTCTCTGCCTCCCAAGTCCCAGCTGATCGGGAGGAAATGGAGATTTTGCAGTAACCTTCCCCCGGCTTGGGGTGGAAATGGAGATTTTACAGTATCCCATTTTTTTTGCCCTCCCCAGGCTCCAGAGGCTTTCCTGCAGCCTGGGGAGGGTAAAAATGGCCTCCCCCACCCCCTCAGAGGCCCTCTGGAGGCCAGAAATGGCCCGTTTAACGACTTCCAGTGGGCCCAATAGGCCTGTTTTTTGCCCTTGTCAGGCTCCAGAAGCTTTCCTGGAGCCTGGGGAGGGCAAAAACGGTCTCCCCCACTCCCCCGGAGGCCCTCCGGAGGCTGAAAACACCCTTCCAGAGCCTTTGTGTGAGCCCTGTACTTGCCTGGCATCCAAAATGGGCTGCGTGGAGACTCCTTGGAGGGGGGGGGCGGCATGGGCAGAGCCAGCCGAAAATCAGCTGGCCAGTGCATGCATGTGCTAGGACAACAGTCGCGTGCCCGCAGATATGGCTAGGCGTGCCACCTGTGCTACACCTGCCATAGGTTCGCCATCACGGGTGTAGGGTCTCTGGCCTGAGCAGGGGGTTGGACTAGAAGACCTCCAAGGTCCCTTCCAACTTTGTTATTCTGTTATATTTCCTCAAAGCCTCAAGCACCGAATGTTCACTGAAAAAATAACATACATGATCCACCATCGACATAGTATTAAAACCAAGGTAGGCTTGGTTTGGGAAATTGGACTTCTTGCTTGGTTATTCAATACTTATTTTATTTATTTACTTTATTTTTTAAATTTTTATACCGCCCCCTCTCCCGAAGGACTCGGGGCGGTGAACAGCCAAAATTAAAAAACATACAATACTTGATTTCCCGCAGTTATACACGTGTGGGCGTCCACTGGAAAGTGTTGTGTTGGATGTGATTAAAGTGGGATACCGGAATTCTTTTCCAATCAGGTTTGATTTCTTCTTGCAAGGTGTTAATTTATGTCCTTAAATGCATGTGTGAAAGGACGCCTCCCCCCCTCCAGATTGTGAGCTGCTGAGCAGATTCTGTGCAGATGGTTTGATTGGACCCGTTAAATTATACTGGTGAACCCCTGATCGCTTCTCAGTTCTGTATTACTACCTTTGTTGCCCCCTTCCCCATTTATATTTATTTATTTATTTGTTTGTTTGTTTATATCCCACCTTTATTATTGCTTGAAATAACTCCAGGTGGAGAACATAGGTAACACTGCTCCCTCCTCCTGTTTTCCTCACAGCAAGAACCCTATGAGGTTGGTTGGGCTGAGAGAAAGCGACTGGCCAAAAATCACACAGCCTCCTTTCATTGCTCCGGCAGAACTAGAACTCCTAGTCTCCTGGCGATTGGCTTAAAGACACCTATCTAGTTTTCATGCCTGTGGTGGGACTAGAACTCCCAGTCTTTTCCTGGTGATCAGCCCAAACTCACCCGGTCAGCTTTCATGTCTAGGGTGGGACTAGAATTCATTGTCTCCTGGTGATTGGCCTAAAGGCACCCAACTGGCTTCCATGCCTGTGGTGGGACTAGAACTCCCAATCTCCTGGTGATTGGCCAAACTCACCCGGTCAGTTTTCATGCCTAAAGCAGAACTAGAATTCACTGTCTCCTGGTGATTAGCCCAAGGTCACCCATCCAGCTTTCGTGCCAAAGGTGGAACTAGAACTCACAGTCTCCAGGTGTCTAGCCTGGTGCCTTAACCACTTGACCAAACTGGTCATCCTTCCATCTTCTTCATTTGCAACCCAAGATCCAGTCGTCCTCTGTCTATCATACAGCTATTGCAGTTTCTACCAAGGGTGGATAGTGAAGAATAGAATAAGAATAGAATAGAATAATTTTATTTCTATACCGCCCTTCTCCCGAAGGACTCAGGGCGGTGTACAGCCTATTAAGACCAACAATGGAAGTGTGGGGAGTTCATATTGGGTGCTTATTAGACTGAGGAGGGGTGTGTGTGTCAGAGAGAAAGAGACAGAGACAGAGCGAGAGGGAGGGAGAGAATGAGAGAGAATGAGAGATTTTATTTATTATATTAAATAATATAACAGACCTTCAGTTAATCACAAAGCTCCTTGGATGGCTTTGGGCCAGTCAGTCTCGACCCAGCCGATGCTGCAAGCTTGTTCTGAAAGAAACAGAGGAGGCCCTTTCAGATCTCAAGAAAAAGTGAGGGGACGATGCAAAAATGCATCATTTTTATTGCCTGCTGGTTTAGATATGGCAACCACCTCTTCAGCATATGCTCTTGTAAAACTTCCAATATGCCGAGTCCTTTCGTTCCATGGGCCCCACTTGATGGAGTCCCCTCGTTTCGCTGCATTTTTGCCTCTGTCCTTCCTGAGAGAGGGAATCTTCAACTGTTGTTTGGGCTGCACAACCGCAGTGTAAATACGAGATTTGTTTGGTTAAACAACTGACGTCCTTGAACAGACTTAATTTCCCTCACCCGGAACGTTCTGTCTCTTTTGAGCCAAGGAAGAATGTTTGTAGATTTTTTTTTACTTTTTCTTCCCACCGCCCCCAAGGTGTGATGACCGAGACCCACAATTTCATTGTATTTTTTCATTAGTTATTAAATGTGTGTGTGTGTGTGTGTGTGGTGGGATGCAACTGGTTTAACAACCAATTTGGTGAGCGTGCGCTTGTGCTTGCGTGCAGCGTTCAAAATACAGCATTTTGAAACTCAGCTGCTTACCTTCTAAGACAGCCCCGGTAAGTAGAATAGCGGAGACGCGGAAATCAGCTGTGCTGCGCGAATCAGCTGAGCCAGAAAGAAGGAAATAAACGGCAGGATCAGGCGGGTGGGTGGGGCCAGCTGATCGTCAGCGCTACCGGTTCGCTCAAACTGGTTTGAGCTGGCTGAATACCACCTCTGTATGTGTGTCCGTCTCGCTATCCAAAGAGACTCTTTTAATAGCAATAGGTAGCTTCTTACTGTACATCAGCCTTTGCTGATCTGGGTGCGTTGAGTTCAAGTCCCATAATCCTCACCCAGCATTGCTTTTACAAAATTTTGTGTGGAAGTTCTGAAGGGTAATGTTGTTTCAAACTATTGCTGG